CATCAATGTGATGATGTCAACACATACACAACCCCATTCTTTTTCTCCTATTTGTTTCCAGGAGTACAGGACAAAGGCTTCTATCTAGCTTCAAGCTTCAGGTTAAAGTATATCACAGGGTAAAAATCTGTAGGTAAGAATAGAATATAAGCATAAGCACCTAATGAAACATTTGCTCATCCAAGTTTAAACTAGCTATGTCCTACTTAGTTAAGGATTAATTTTCATTACTTAAAAAAAAAAACAATTTGGCAAAGCAAAGAACTTTGAACTACATATAGTAATTATGATTAAAGAAACATATACTTATAAGAACTGTTCACACAGTAGGTGCTCAATAATAATTTGCTGACTGAACATTGAAATTTCACTTCAATTTTTGCTTTAGCACTGATGATTCTGGTACCAGAAAAGTTTAACGTGACATTTCATTTGAAGTTTTCTTACCTAGAGCAGATAACTCTTTAACTAGAACAAAATGGAATCTATATGTGATATCCCTAGTGGCATTTTATAATGTTCCTTACCCTGGCTTTTTAAGTACTTCATACAGGTTTCAGTGTTACAGCTCTTCTCTTAAATTACTACAGCAGTCTTACAATTCTGTCTGCAAGATTTATATTATATCTGGTTAAAAAGCTAAGAATATTCTATGTTTCCAATGATTTTCTTTCTTTTCTTTTTTTTTTTTCATTTTTTTTTACTCTGTTTCTTTGATGTGGGAAGCTTTAAAAGTACATCAATGGAGACATTTCTAAAATCAAAATGATGTTTTGTAACCAATATGTTAAATTGTTTTAAGCAAATACATGCAAAACAGAAACAACTTTTTTTGATATTTTAAAAAATATTAAAATTCACTAGGTCCTATCACTTGTCTTTGAAATTGATAGATTGGTTTATGGAATAAAAGCCAAAAGCTAACCTACAAATTCAAGGATGTTTATTAATCAATCTAAATTTAATTCGATTTTTTAATGCATTCTCTGAATATCACGGCAATCAGCATTACATTATTTTTGTAATGAGAGCTTGGGAAGCAATAGAAATTCTCTCTGGGATACTTAAATACGCCAAGTCAGAGAATGCTGACAGACAGCACTGTCGGTGGCACTTTGGAAATAACAGGGAAGGTGCCCTCTCATCACCATAAAGCCCCCCCCCAATATTCTCATTCCAAAATTTCAAATTTACTTCTGTATTAACACTATCTAGGGGCCAAAAACAGAATGCATTCACCTCTGACAGTAAATTAAACCATGTGGGCGTAGAACACATGGCTTTAAGTACAGCACTAAATTATCTGTCCTCTACACAGAAGTCATGGACTCTGATTCATACAGTAGGTAGCAAAGCTGAGGCTTTCAATCACTGGTTTGAAGGAATTTATGTGCAGTGCAGACATTCGTTCTTTGTTGAAGGTCACGGGCCTAGGAAATAACCCCTGCCAGCCAGCTTGCAAAGTACTAGAGGCATTGCCCCTGAGAGTTGCTGTAAGTCTTTCAAGGGTAGAGGTCAGTGCTGTGATCACAGATCAGTCAAATCTAAAGGAAAAATTACCTGAGGTTTAAAAATGTAGTAAGGGGGAAAACAGGAGGGGAGGTGATGAAAGTGAGTAAAGAAAGAGTGAGAGACACAGAGAAAGAAACTAAATAAATATATTGTGTTACTCCATATTTTTGTGTGGAAAAAAAAGAAAAGCATGTAACTTAGTATTAAATCTAGAATTTTTTTTCCTTAGGAAAGCTTCAAAATAAATTGACTAAATCTGAATACAAAATCTGATGGATGTCATGATGCAATCAATTTTGTGGGTATTTTTTAAATGGTGCAAACAAACCCATTTAAATGCTCATCAGCCTGGATATTCTAAGGAAGAAAAAAAATCAAGCTAAGTGACTTAAACATGAAATGTGAACAGCAGTTCAATGATTAAATTACTGTATCAATTAACTTGAGTACACAAAAAGAATGCTGTTCTTTCAAGCAAAGCTAATTTTGTTTCAGATTAGAAAGATTCTTCTTCATGTCATGGTTGCTGCTTTTTAAAACACAGATCATACAGCAAAAGGGAAAAGATTGTAAATAAGAATAAACTGCTCTCTGGTAATTCTTCATAAAACAAAATAAGCAAAATAAATTGATGCTTTGGAGGAAAAATCAATAGTAACTTTCAAGTAATTCCTAGAGTAAAAAACCCTGAGAAGTATCTTTAAAAAGTACAAAACTGATCAAAAGAAATTATCTGTAAATTAAATATAAAATGGCTTTTCTACTTATAGGAAACATAAGTTTAAAAGACTAAATGCTTTTGGACATGTATTACCAAAAAATAGCAAGAGTTTATCACTGACGATTACTATTACACACAATGGTCACAAATGTTTATATTTACACATTATCATATCAGGCAGTGGTGTTATAGTGTGAATATTCTAAAAAGATTTGTCCTTTTGGCCTCTGGTAGTCAGACCTTATTTGCAACATCTCCACCCCACCCCGACTCAAAACACACACTCCCTCCCAAAACTACAATTCAGTGAAGACTCAGACCTATTCAGAGGCAGAGACCAATTCTCAGAGGAGGACTACATGATCTAAGGCCCTAGTAGCTCTAAATTCTGTGTGTTATATATTGAGGGGAAGGAGAGGTAATTCCGGGAAGGCTAGAAAGGCTTTATGGATGTATTTGAGCCAGACTTTGAAGGATGTTTAGAAGGACTTATGTGGTTCCAGGTGAGAGGAATCATATGACCAAAGAACAGCTGCAAGAGAGGAGAGGTAGGAGATAAGATAGAAAAGGGAAGTTGCAGTCCCAAGCCATTGAAGGGTTCTGAGCAGGAAAATGACCAACTAAAAGTAGCTTTATAGATCCTTAATTTATCCATGCCTGCATCATTATCACAATCAAATAAGTTTTTGTTAAGTATCTATGATTGAGCACCAGGCTAGACAACGAGAATAAAAGTACAAAGAATGAAAGAATCCCTAGTTATGATAAGCTTGTATTAATAACAGGAGTGATAAAGACATAGAGAAACACATACAGCATAAATATAAAGTTAAAAAACACCCACATACAACAGTTCAAATGAAATACAACTATGGGAAGGAAGGGACTAGAAGTTAGGGGCAATCAGAAAAGGCAAGCTCCACAGGATCTGTGTATATAGTACTTAACTTGCTTTGTTCATGTTACCCTAGGTCATTTCCCCTGTCACATGTTAAAGATAAAACTAGAAATATGTACATATTATATAAATATGTGTGTGTATATATTTTATATGTATAGAAATATGTACATATTTTATATATATAGAAATATGTACATATACACATACACACACGTTACTGTGGGTGATACCTAAAATGATGAAGCAGCCTATAACTCAGTATCATATACTTGTAGTCCAGTGGTTTCTACAGGCTGCCAAATAATGGGACAGGTTATTCACTGGCAGTAACTGGAGTAGGTCATAAGAACCACCAAAGTACAGTCTGCAAGGGAGGTTAAAATCCAGGGGAGTAGGATCAGTCTTTGGTAGTACTTAATAATAAAGTAAACCTCCCAAAAATGAACTGTTGTTTTCTGACAAGGAAATAATAAATTCCTTAGTTATCCTGGGGTGGGGAACCTGTGGGCTTTGAGGCCCCATGTGGCCCTCTAAGTCCTCAAGTTCCACCCTTTGACTGAATCTAAACTTCACAGAATAAATCCCCTTAATAAAAGGATTTGTTCTGTAAAATTTGAACTTAGTCAAAAGGTTGCACACAAGGACCTTGAACGCCAGGAGTGGCCTTGAGCCCACACGGTCCCCATTCCTTAGTCGATTTTCACATTTTAAAGATAAACTTCAGACCGGGGGAGTGATGAAATAGCCTGCCCCAGCAAATCATTAAGAGAACTCTAGTCCCCTCTGCCTCAGTACCTGTTTACCTAAGACTCAATAATAGTTACTGTAAGATTCTCTCTTGTCTATCATTGCATTCCACCTTGAAATTTTATTTGTCCTATAATTATATAGGTAAGAGGGAACTAGAATGAATATCATTACAAGAAAGCTAGGGGGCAGCTAAACAGTATAATGGATAGAATGTTGTACTTGAAGTCACCAAGAGCCGAGTTCAAATCTTGCGTCAGACATTTACTAGCTAACCTGTCTCAGTTTCATTACCTGCAGAACTGGGGATAATAACAGTATCTATTTCATGTGATTGTTAAGGGGATCGAATGAGATAAAAGGTGTAAAGAACTTTGCAAACTCTAAAGAATCATAAATGCTAGTTATTAAGAAAGCCACTTGCATAATAAAGCTATTTCAAATTCAGTTATAGCTGGGTTTGGTTCTTTTTTTTTTAATCCTTTCTTCCTTAGTGGAGGCAGAAAAGGCATTTTTGGAATGCGCTTAAAGCGTGAAATTACTTAATAGCTAGCATTTATTAAGTGCTTTAAGGTTTTCCAAAGCACTTTCACATATACTATTTCATTTGCTCCTCATGTCAACCATGACAGGAAAGAAAAGTATATAGAATACACTTTCAAGTTAAATCTGCATCAACATTTTCTACATCACCTTCTCAAGTCTAGACAATCAACAAAACAATAAATCACACCCTGCTTTGTAGAGTTTGCCAGTTTCCCCACGTGTAAATTTAAGTATTAACACTGAAATATTAGAAGACCTGGTTTTGAGGTGCACTGGGGCGAACTCCGCACTTCTCTCAGAGAGGTTAAGTGACTTGCCCTCGGCACACAGCCAGTCAATGCCTGAGGTTGGAGTCTTCCTGACTCCAAGTGCAGGACTCTGTCCTTTGGGCCACCAAGCTACCGAAGAAACACTTCCTCCAAAGTACCTAGTTAATGCTGGTGACGAGTCCTGCCCAGGTGAGCCAGGCGAGAACTCTCTGCCCTCGGCGCGACCTATCGCCTTACCAACTACAAGTCCCATAAGGCTGTGCACAGACGGCCCCCGCTGAGATCGGAAGTAGCCTGGGGCTTCCTCCGAGACCAGGAAAAGTGGAAGAGGGACTCTTCCCTGCCCTCGGGCCACGTTTTGGCCGCAGCCGTTCTCGTCGCCTCTGGGTGGGGTAGGCTTCCCCTCGTTGCTGCCGGTCGTGCCCCTTCTGTAGCGAGCTCTGCGGCCGGCTCGGCTCCACGCTGAGTCACGGTGGGTGGCCCGGCGGGCGGGTGCGCATGCGTGGGGCCGGAGGCCTGAGGCGCCCCCCGAAGCCGGAGGGAGGGCTCGTCCTGGGGCGGTCACGGCCGACCTGTGCGGTGTGGGGAAAACGGCCGCCTCCAAAGACCCTGCCGCAGCCCAGGTGTTCAAAGATAAGCACTCGTGGGCAGGAGAAGCACCCTAAACCCCGAGGGACTGAGGGGGCCCCTGGGTCCTTGTGAGGGCCCAAGTAGAGGAGGGAGTTCTGAGGCCTGGGGTGAATTAGACCCCAGCCGATGCCCGCCCCCGAGGGAAGGGGCTACCTGGCCCGCGGGGGGCGGGGGTCCCACGTCCAAGGCTCTCCTCAAGTCCTTTAAATCCCCTTCTTGATTTCAGACGACACCGAGAAAAAAAAAAGTAAATCATGCAAGGAAACGACCCCTCCGGATAAAGTGGCGCCGTCCAGTTAACAAGCCTTTGCAGTAAGCGCCTACTGTGTGCCAGGCGCAGTGCTGAGGGCTGGGAATGCAAAGAAAGTCGGAGGACCGCCCTGTGCCTCCCAGGACACAAAGTGAAAGGCTTGGGTTGTTAATGGCCCCCTGCAGTCCCCCGACCTTGTTGTTCAGCCTAAGGCAGCTGATTTAGGGACGGGAGCTGTATTCGGTGTGGGGGTGGGGTGTGGTTAGGGTCAGCCTGTCCTAAGGAAGAACCAGGCTGGGGTTTTACTGGGCAGGTAGAAATTGTAGGGAAGAAGGTGCGCCAGGAACCACACGTTATCCTCTAGCCTTGTCGTAGATACCTTCCTTTTCAAAAGTTTTAATCTGATTGAGGGGGGAGGGGGCACAACTTTTAAAGCATCAGGGGAAAAAGCCTTTGCCAGTTAATGTTATGATAAGACAACGTATCACTTCATAATGTAGAAACTATCCCTTAATTTACTTTTTTTGGGTCAGATTTTCTTTACACCTGGTAGGAAGCCAGAAGTGAACAGAAAAGATGTATAGTTAGATTAAAACTAGCATTTTCCTTTCATTCTCTCCCAAATTCTCATTTTTCTTTTCCAAAACCTAAAAAACTTGGAAAGCCAGGTTTTGGATTTCAAATCCTAAAGAATCTCAATTATTACCCAGAAGAATAGTATTTCGCCAGAGCTGCTTAATATGTAACCAGTTGGAGGTAGTTTCTTAGCCAACCTTTATTGATTGCCTATGGTGTGAGGCATGTACTTTATCCCATAGGGAATAAGTGAGAAATAAAAGCTATGATCCGGTGTCTTCAAAAGAGTTTAACATCTGTTTGAGAAATCCACATATACCTTACAAGCATAAAAATGAGAGGACATTTACAAAATGATGTATCAGAAATATAAGCGGATACATAAATGTTGAAGTGGAAAACTGTGGTAGGTAGTACAAGACCGTATAACATTGAGTCAGGAGAGGAGACCAGTTTTGAATCCTACTTCAAATACTGACTACTGTTGAATGATAGCCAGATAATATTTAACTTCTCTGAGCCTCAGTTTCTTAATCTGTAAATAGATAGACAGTTTCTGTGGAACTTAATTAACAAGATTGTTGAAGATTATGAAGTTCAAGTGAGATAACATATACAATGGATAAACCTTAAAAGTATAATGTATTTTTATTATTATTTCTGGAGAGGCAGTTTGGTATTGTCAAAAGGATTCAGGACTTTGAGTCATGAGATAATCAAGTTCAAATTAACTGCTTTGATGGTTACTAGCTGGACAACCACAGGAAGCCACTTGACCTATCCAAGCTAGTTTCCTCATTTGTACAACAGTAATAATGGTACTTTCAGTGTCTCTCCAAATTGTTGTGAGGAGTGCACTTTATAAAGCATAAAGTGTCATTTAGATATTAAATGTTATTGATATAAAGGAGTGAACAAGGTTGAGATTGGGTATTTCTTGGACAAAATGAATTCTGACCTTCAAGAGTTATAAAACCAGAATCACATACTTAATAGAATTTCAGAATTAAAGGGACCTTCAGTGGCCATCTATCTTGTACATTCCATGCCTGAAAAAGAATCCCTTTGACAACATTCCTGTAAAGTGATCGCCAGCCTTTCTTTGGACACCTTCAATTAGGAGAAATATATTATGTTCCAAGCTGGTTCCACTTTTAGACAGCTTAATTCTAATTTGCCTGGAGAGAATATTGGGATAATAACTTGTGCAAAGACAGACATTAAAACATTTTGTGCAAACTATAGTAAGAACATTGGCTTGCTTGGCAGAAATAAAAAGATGAAATTGGAGAGGTAAGATAATATGATTCAATGGATACTCTTCAATCAAAAAAGATAGAGGTTATATTTTATATTAAAGACAATGGGGAGCCACAGTAGATTTTCAAGATATTATAAAAACAGCACATTGCTTTGCACATGGTAAGCTCTTAAATACTTCATTCATTAGTTTTCTTGAAAATTATTCAGGCAGTTATTCCCATGAGAGCATGGGTATAAATTTGAGAGAAAAAGATGGCCAAAACTGAGGAATCAGTAGTGAGAGAATCAATTAGGGTAACAGCTATGAAAGTAGGTAAAAAAAAGTTTTACAGAAGCAGAAATACTGAGTGTAATTTTGCAGGAGTAAGCTCCATAATTTTGCTGCCTTTTTTTTCAGTGTTATTTTATATATTATAGCCAAAGGCCTCTAATAGCACAAAATTGCAGCCTGACAAACTTTAGGTAGTTATTTGAGACACAAAGCATTCTTGATCTCTAGCGACATCAAGTTTTCTGATTATCTGTTCATATGTAATAATTATCCACCTATGGCATTGTTTTATTACCTGTAGTGTAAGACCAGTTAAAAGTAACTGCCTAAAAACAGACAGTCCCTGTTATAAATGTTGTTACTCCAAATGTTTATCAATTTAGAAGTAGGAACATATTTCCACATAGAAATACTGATACAAAAATAATACTGCTGATAGTAATAATAACTCACATTTATATAGTTTTTTAGGTTTATAAATGGTTCCTTTAAAAAAAAAGGCCCTGAAATTGATCTGAAATTGAGACAGTATGAAATAGTGAATGGAGTGTTGGGTTCAGATCTTCTCTGATAATAGGTGTGTGACTCTGGAAGACTCTGTGTCTTAGGTAGCTACCAAGGCTCATCTTCGAAGTTATAAATAGTTGGCTTTGCTTTGGTGGAGGGAGTTTCCATAGGGGAGTAACATATGCTGACAAAATCAGAGATTCTTCCATAGTCATGTTTTCCCCCAAAACCTTCATTTGATCCCCATACCTTTGAGCTATGCTTTCACTGCTGAACATAGAGGAAAAAAGCCTACTGCACTAGCTGTCTTCTCACTTCCCACTCCTCAACTACTCTGCAGGGTGACCATTGAGTCATTTGCTGCATCTGTTAGCCTTGTTTTCATTATTCTCTTTGATTTCTCTGCAGCCTTTGTCATTGTTGACCATCACTTCCTCCTATATAATCTCCTCCCTGAGTTTTTATGCCCAACCTGTCTCTCTTCTTGCTTGTCTGGCCGCTCCTCAGGATCATCATTCCCTACATTCCCTAGCCATGGATGTCCCCCTGGCCTCTACTCTGGGTCCTTTTCTCTTTACTTTCTTGGTGATCTTATCAGTTCCCATGGGTATAGATATATCAGGGTCCAAGTCCTACTGCTTGACATACAATGTTGGTCACTTAATCTGTGTATGCACTTAATGTGTGTATACACAGACACACACACACACAGAGTATATTTTCCAGAATAATCAATATGGATTCATTTACATATCTCAAAGTGAAGAAGGATAGAACTCATAGTTACAAAATTATATAAAGCAAAATAATAACTTTATAGACATAATAAAGAGAGAGACTGTAACTCAAACACTAAGTCACATTATATTTAACCAGCCCTACAATATCATGGACAAATCACTGAACCTCTTTGGGTCTCAGTTACTCATCTGAAAAATTAAGAAGTTGGACTAGATTAACCATAAGGTCCCTTTCAGTTCTAAAGCTGTGATCCTCTTAAACATTCTATCCAGCCACTGACATTATATATTTTGCATTATTAAGTACCTTATGTTCATATGTACATGAAGGTACATGCACATACTCTCATTCATGCATTTATTCATTTTAGTTTGAACTTGTGATTTCATTGATGTGAGAGAGCTCTCAGTGAGGATGTTTCTTCAACCAATGCACATGAGTAATTTCCACAATTTAGAGCCAAAGTGTTAACCTGGGAATACTGTATGTACTAGGGTCACAGCCTGGATAGATTAGAGATGGAACTTGAATCCAGTTTTTCCAAACTCCAAGGCTTGTTCTCAATCTACTATACTGTACTGCCTCTCTGAATTTCTATAGTGCTTTATAGTCAGTGTTATATGTTATTATATGCCTTAGAACAACCAGTTGCTGTTATTATCCTGTATTTGCAAATGAGGAAAGAGAGGTTCAAAGAACAATTTAAAACTTCATTAAGAAGCCATGAAGGCTATACAAAGAAAGACCACTACCAACAACTCAGTACCGAGTACTGTGTTATTATAATTACAAAGAAGAGAAGTGACGCTACATCTTCCTCTCTGGTCAGGGATTATGCATGTGGAACAGTTCATGTCTTGTCAGAAATTAATGGTGATGATTGATTTTGCTGAGTTTTTATCCACCTCTATTTTAATTTTTTGTTATAAGAGTCTTATGGGGGGAGGAAGTGAGAAATATATTGGGAAATGAAAAAGGTGTAAGAACAAAATATCAATAAATTAATTTTAAAATATCCAAAGGATAAAAAATCAAATCCTTTTTTACATAAATTAGAGATTGGAAGCAGTTTTATTTTTGGTTAAAAAGGAAACTTTGTATTTTAAAAATGTAATGGTTTACAAGCACCAGAATTTGGAATCTTTCTACTTTGAAGTGTTTACAAAACTGTAAAGCATGGTGTAACAGAGAATTTCTCATTAGCAAAAGAGTGAACCTTTAGAAGTTTTTTTTTTCCCCTCAAACCTATAGTCTATCCCAGTAGAACACTTTAGACAGTAGCTGCCCCACATTTCTTTTTTGTTTTGTTTCTTTTTAAATAGATTTTTATTGATATATTTTTACATTGCTTAGATTTCCCCCATGTCCTTTCTTCTTTTCCCAGAGAACCATCCCTTATAAGAATTGAAGAAGAAAGATGGAAAGGAAATAGCAAAACACTGGGGAAAAAATGCATTATATGCAGTGTACTATCCAAGTCCCTCAATATATCTCTAAATAGTCCAGCAAGTTTCAAAAGTTTCAAAGTTACTTTTCTCTATAATGTTGTTATCACTATATCAATTGTCTCTTGTACCCCACCACAACCTCTGTAAAGGAGTTGGAGAAGTGTCTTCTCACAATTTGTATTTGTGGTCTAGTTTATTCTTTATAATTTTGTCACACTTGTTTTCAGTTGTTTTGTGATTGTTTCTGTTTTGTGTTGTATATATTGTTTTTCTGGCTCTGTCTATATCATTTTGCATCACTTGAATTAATCTATGTTTCTCTGAATGCATCATATCAATTGTTCTTTATAGCACAAATTCCCTTACATTCATGTGCTGCAGTTTATTTATTCATTCCACAATCAATGGAGGAGCTACTTTTTTTTTTGTACTTTGCTATCCCCGAAAGTGTATGTGGAACCTTGCTTTTTGTCAATGGAGAATATGCTTAGCAGTGAAATTTTAGAATCAATAAATGGGGACATTTTATCCACTTCATTTGCATGATTCCAAATTCCTTTCCAGAATGGTTGTACTAATTTTATCTCTTTACTAACAATGCATTAGGCTACCTATCTTTCCATACCCACTTCAACATTGACTACTCCCGTCTCTGCCAATTTTCTAGTTGTGTGATGAAACCTCAAAGTTATTTTGATTTGCATTTTTGTTCTTATTAGTGATTCAGAACATTCTTTCATTTGGTTGTTAATACCTTTGCAGTTCTTTTTGAGAATAATTTATTGATACCTTTTGATCACTTGTCTGTTGAGGAATGACTTTTGGTCTTATATATTACTGGTAATTGAATACCAAACCCTTATAAGAGATATTTAACAGGGGTTTTTTGTTGTTTTTTCCCCCTACTCAACTGCTTCCCTTCTTATTCTATAAGCATTCCTTTTGTGTGTACTAAAGCTTTTTGATTTCATGTCATCAAAATTATTCATTTTATCTCTTGTAATTGCCTCTATCTCTTGTTTGCTTAAGAATTTACCCCTATTCATAGCTGTAAAAGGTATATGATTTGCTTCTCTTCTGATTTTTTTATAGTATGATTGTTAATATTCAGGCCACACATCCATCTTGAATTTATTGTGGAATAGAATGTGATGTTGGTCTAAGCCTAATTTTTGTCAGACTGCTTTTCAGTTTTCAGCGATTAAGTAATTCTGTCTTAAATAATTTATGTTTTTGTATTTATTGAACACTGAGTTATTGAGTTCCATTATTTCTGATTTTCTTTTGTCCAGTCGATTCCATTGATCCACTTTTCTGTTTTTAAACAGTACTAAATGATTTTGATGATTTCTGCTTTATAATATAGTTTGAGGTGTGGAAATGCTATTTGCCATGTAGAACTACCTTTTTAAAAAATTATTTCCCTTGATACCCTAGCCCTTCCCCTCCATAAAAAAATCTTTTTCCCTAAAAAGATATTTAGACTTTCCTCTTGCTTGGCTCAGAGAACTAAAGGCTTAGATTGTTGATATCACTTTATCATGGCCTGAATACAAAGCAACCAGGAGGATCTTTTAGGGCACTCTGACTGGACTTGTGGGAAATGGTGAACAGCTTGGGCAAAGGAACTTCACTCAGCTGAATCAACTTGAGATGTCTTCAGTATCTGTTCTTGTTGCTATCGTTCTCCAGCTATGGCTAAGTAAATCTCTTTTTGTTAACTGTTGAAGGACCTAAAAGTCTCATTTTGTTCAAGTTTCAAACTTAAAGCTATCTAGGGACTAGCCTGAGTTCAGGACTAACCCAGAACATCATGTTTATTCACAAATATTTCTTAACCCTGGTCTGAATATACTTAAGAAGTGCTGGGAAGGACCTTAATAATCATTTGGGCCAACTTTCCTGTTTTATAGTTGAAGAAACTGAGGCCTAGAGAGGCTAAGTAGAGTTTCCTCAAACCAAATATAACAGCAGACTTGAAAATAGAACCCAGGTTCTCTGACTTCATATTCTTCCCACACAGCTGTAAAGTTAACAATAACTACTTCTGTCTCAAATATTGTCAATTATAACTCTTCTACAACTTACTTGATCTTAAGAAAACTGAGGTGGCAAAAAAATTACTCACCCTGTAGCCAGCTGACCCTCTCTGAACTGAGCTAGATTAGTCCTCAGAGAACAGAAAGTCTGTCATCAGACCCATAACTCAAAATCTTTCTACCTTGGTAGGCCCTACCTAATAGCCTGAATTCCATGCCAAAACCTTTGAGAACACAGGGTTAATAACATGCCACAAGGAGGTGTCAGATTAAGACTTTTATTTTAACAACTTGCATATATAGTGTCCTTTTTAAGGTTTACAAGACACTTTCCTTCAAAACAGTTTTTGAGGTAGATAATACAAGTATTTATTTTCAATCTACAAATGAAGAAACTGAGGATCAATGAGTCTAGGTTCCAGTACAATTCATACAGTTCGTGTGAAAGTCAGGATTCAAGCCCAGGTCTCTTCTAACTTCATAGGTTGTCCTCTTTCTTTGATATGTACATTTTAAAAAAGGGTCTTAATTAGATGAGTTGTGAATTGTTTTCCTATGAGGTAGCTTCCGTGTTAGATCTGAAAAGGAACTTAGAGATCTTCTAGTCTAACAACCCAAGGTCGCATGACTAGTAAGAAGCAAAACTGGGACTTACTATGCCTTGATGTCACTTTACAGGGATTCATTTGTGATTGGAGCTAGGCTTCTGCTCACAAGGGAATAAAATATTTAGACTGAAAAGGAAGGGGAAAAGCAGAAGGAATAAGCCATTTTTGTGCCAGATAACTGTGCTAGCTGCTTTTTATTTTTAAACAAATATTATCACATTTGATCCTCACAACAATCCTGCAAGGTAGATGCTATTATTCTCTTCATTTTAAAGTTGTGGAAACTGAGGCAAACAGAAATTAAGGGACTTGCCCAGGGTCACACAGCTAGTAAAAGTATCTGAACCTGGATTTGAATTCAAGTCTTCCTGACTAGTGCTAAGGGCTGTTAACACCTGAACTTGTGTTTTTGAGTTGCCATGTTTTCTGGAAACACTGGACCTAAGGCATGCTAGAGGCCCTGAATGTGTCAAGGACGAAGTCACTCCCCTCTCCTGTTGTTTGCACCCCAAGCTGAATTCCCTATGTGTCCTTGGGAGGCAAGACTGACACCAGCCAGTCTATGCCAGGCTGGAAAAATGCTTGTGCAGCTGGGGTTCTTTGCAAAAAAGAGGACCCTCCTATCTTCATAGTCTCACAGTTCCCAAAGGAGAAGAATGCCATCACCTTGCTCTTCCTACCTCATAGGAGGGGTTACTGCACCTTTCCCCTTTTGTGCCATGCCCTTTTCTGTTTTCTCCTCCTCCTTTTGTTGTACTGTCATAAATATGCAAACTTCTGTAAGAACTGTGAACTCTTTGGGTTCGCATGCATGTTCATTTCTCTTGTAATAAACCTGGTTTTCACATAAGTCTCTTGACATTGTGATTGCCTGTTGACACTAGGCCCAACACTCTATCTACTTACTGTGTGCCACCAGCTGCCTCTAAGAAGAAGGAAAAGAAATATTCTTATGACTCATAATCATGTGAACAATTTAAATGCAAAAAATGTAGGATTGTAAATGTTAGACTGCCAAATTTCAGTCTTATTAATTATAAGAACCATATATCTAACATAATTCTATATACTAGTAAGTACTAAATGAATACTTCAGTGATTAAACTGAATTCCCTCTCTTAAAACATTTGAATGTTAATTATTTTTTATATTACTAAGTGATGCATAGGGAACAATAATCAGTTCATGATTTAATGTGTTTGTTTTGTTCATTTTAAAGGAGAGAATGGCTACTTTTAAAAGAAATCTCAGACAAGAATTGGTTTCCCAGTTTCACTCTTTAGCTGCTGAAGGAAACATCAGCAAGTTACCAGTATTGCTCAGTCAATATCCATTTCTTATAAATGAAACTTCTGAAAATGGTTGGACTGCCCTAATGTATGCTGCAAGAAACGGGCATCCACATATTGTTCAGTTTCTCCTGGAGAAGGGGTAAGCATAGTAGCAAATAGTTTTGCATTAAAATAGATTGCAGCCATATTTTTTTCTTGTTAGAAATTGTTTAAAATATCCTATCAATACATTCATATAAAAACATAGTTTTCCCATAATACTTTTAACATTTGCTGCTGTATTACTGAAAAATAAAGCCAAGAAATGTTTTAGTATAATCGTTCAGAGAGAGAAAGGTATTCAGAACAAAGTGATAAGAATAATAACAGCTTACATTTATGTGGTACCTACAATGTATAAAGTGTCTTAGCATTTTACAATTATTTTCTCATTCGAATCTCACAACAACCCTGGGAGGGAGTTACTATTATTATCCCAATTTTACAGATGAGGAAACTGAGGCAGACAGGTTAAGTGACTTTCCCAGAATCACACAGCTAGCAAATGTCTGAGGCCAGATTGGATCACAGCGTGTTATGCGCTGTGCCTAGCTGCATTCCAATATAATAGAGGAATACTTTTGACATCCTCTTAGTTTTTAATATATAATATCTAAGGTAGAACAAAACATAAGAAAATGTTCTGGAACATATGCCAAGATTTTCCAGATTTTCTGAGTTGCTTTCTTTGGAATAATCTTCAATCATTCAGTCAACAGACTTATTAAGTGCCTGATATATGTCAGATATTTTACTGGTGACTGGAGACAGAAAGATAAAAATCAAAGTCCATGCCCTCAAGAAGCTTTTGTCTTAGGAGATAACATGTATACAGTTAAGTATAATAAATACAAATACAAGGTCATTTCAAGAATAGAAAAACTAACAACCAGCAGGATCAGGGAATTCCTCATGTAGGCCATGATATTGGAACTTCGCTTTGAAGGGAAGTGCAGATTCTAAGAAGCACAGAAAAGGAAGGAATGCATTCCACACATGCAGGATAGCTTTTCAAAGGTGCAGAAGTTGGAACCAGGATGTAGAGTTTATATAGGACCTAGAGGTAATGGAGCACAAACACAAATTAAACATGCTCACATAAATCTTTGTGGAATTCTGGAGCAAAATATAAAAGAATAATTATGTTTAATGTACTTAGTACTTAAGCAGTTCTCTGGAAAATTATACATGTATGATATTTTAAAATTTTATTCCTATGTTAATACTTTTTTAAAATTTCCCTAGTATAGCAACTAGTCTGTAATTATTAAATAAATACAGAAGGATGATAAGATGGATGCTGAAAACATTGTTATGTGAGTAGATAAAAATATTATACTTACTATTTTCCCTCCCAATTCTTTTTTCCTTTCTATAGCTGTGACAGGTCCGTTGTCAATAGATCAAACCAGACTGCACTGGATATTGCTAAGTTCTGGGGCTATAAGCATGTAGCTACCTTACTCTCTAATGCCACGGGTGTACAGAAACCATTTTTCCCACTCGATAAGATGGAGATATATGAAAATTATTTTAGCAAGACTCTCCTAGACAGGAAGAGCGAGAAACGAACAAATTTGACATGGCTATCAATTAAACAAAAGCATCCAGACACAGTCTATATCCTTTTCTCAGATTTAAGTCCATTGGTTACATTGACTGGCCAACAGCCAGAAGTGAAGCTTTGTCGCTTGAACTACATAGATGTACAAGATTATTTAACCAATCTTGATAATGTTAACTTAGTTTTTCTTGGGGTAGAACTTGGAATTAAAGAAGAATTAATTAACAAGATGGTTGGGGAAGACCCAAACAAGGAGGAGGAGGATGGGTTGGTTGCTTGGTTTGCCCTTGCTATAGATACCATCACTGCTAAAGAGTTTAAACAAAGATATGAAGACTGTTACTTCCTTCATCCTCCAATGCCTGCTCTCCTACAGTTGAAAGAGAAAGAAGCTGGTAAGATACAAATTTTACCTCATCATTTGGGGTAATTGGTCTGGTTATTAGAAGAAAACAGGTTAGGTTACTCTGTAGCTCCTAGAAGAGGATTTCATGTAAGCACTTTGCACCATTTGTGCTTGATAGTGAAATAAGAGAACCTTTATTGAAGGTTTCTTAGATATATGAACTAACTGAAAACATCTTTAGTTATTCCTGTCTTGAAGAGCCCTAAAGAAGGTTTATGTGGTTAACTTCGGGTAGCTTCTGTGTCTATGTTGCTCACCAGGATCATTTGTTTACAAAGGTTATACAAAAGTTGATTATTTGTAATTTGGAAAATGCTTGTATAGTAGAACCTATCTCAAATTCAGCTCATTACTGTACAGATAAAGGTGTTTTGGTCAAAACTGTTTCCTGAAATGTAAAAATTATACAAAGTAACAACCTTGTGTAATATGGTTAGCCTGTGAAACTATGAGTACCATTTGCTTAACACTAGGGCTGTAAGAAGATTCAGTATGTTAGGTCAAAATGAAGATAAGGTCTAATTTTCTTTCATTATCTATGTTTGAGAAAGAAGTTAACTTATATTACACAAGAAAATGCAGACTCAAAAAGACATATTGTCTTTTTTGGGGGAAGGTGAGGCAGTTGGGGTTAAGTGACTTGCCCAGGGTCACACAGCGCCACCTAGCTGCTCCTATATATCATCTTTATATTAGCCACAGGTATATTTTTGTCCTTTAGAAATGCTTTATAATTTCTCTATGAGTACTTATATTATGTCTTTAAGGGGTCGTAGCTCAAGCCAGATCTGTTCTTGCCTGGCATAGCCGATATAAGTTTTGTCCAACATGTGGAAGTGCAACTAAAATTGAAGAATGTGGTTATAAAAGGGTATGTTTAAAAGAAGATTGTCCCAGCCTTCAAGGAGTTCACAATACATGCTACCCAAGAGTTGGTAAGCCTTTCTTCTTACATTAAAATTTTGAATACTTCCTTTGCAGAAGTATGGGGGATTATGTATGTGGAATATTGCATATGCTGTTAGACATAATTGATGTATTGATTGGTGTTGCTATAATGCTTCTTTTTCCCTTTTTAATTTTTGTTACAAAGCTTGAATGGGGTAGGGGGAGAGATATGTTGGAAAATATAGATGATGTAAAACAGAATTTATCATTAGAAATAAGATTAAAAAACATTTTGGCTAACTAGTATCATTATAAGAATATATCATCCAGTTAGGCAAGTTTATTGTATCATAGAATGTTAGAACAGGAACAAACCTCAGAGACCATCTCCTTATCTCCCCGTTTTATAGATTGAAAGCAATTGAAGGACCTTGAAAGCACAGAAATAAATGTTTAAGTGACTTGATTAAGGTCGTACTGGCTAGTTAGTGGCAAAAAGCCAAGACCAGCATACTTCAGACTCCCACTACTTTATCTTTACGTGGTATCTTTTACCACATACATAGGATGTAAGAAGTTTTACCTGTAGTATGTAGTATCTTTTATTGAGCTAGGTAATTTCTGATGTACCCTTTGTTAAGAAGGGAAAGATGGGAAATTTAAGTGCCAAATCTTTATTTTAACCATGAATTGAAGACCCTTCTAAAAAGTTATGTACTTCTCTGCCAAATCAAACAGAGGATCCTGAACATAGTTTAACTTTTTCTTATTGACTCAAAATGATCATTCTGGATCGCCAGTTATTGTGCCAAAACAGGATGATGTTATCTGAGTCCAACAAGTATGTGTTGCTTGTACACCAAATGACCCCAGACTGCTATACTTTTTGAATTCTCATACGTGAAGCAGTATAGTATAGTAGATAGAAAGCTGTAGCCTTGGAATCAGGAAGACCTGGTTTCAAATACTCTTTCAGACATATGTTATCTTAGTGACCCTAGGCAAGTCACTTAACTTGTTAGTATTCTAGACAACTCTTTAAGACTATAGGTTTTGTATAAGTACCAACCTGCAACAGTAGTACCTCTTCATATGGTAGTACTTGGGAAATCACAAGTCTAGTGTCTATCTCTATCCATCACCTATAATATTTCTGCTTCTTTTATTGTCTAACTGCCAGTTACTTCCAGCTGCCAGCAGTGTACCTCTTGCTAACAATTCATTTTCCACTTCCTAATATGCTATGTCAAATCTGCTTTTGATTTAGAAAGCAGCCCAAAGTTTGTTAGGATTATAAATAAGGTGGAAAAAAAGAAATATAAATATTTTAAAAACAACTATTCTGCGTGAAAACTTGAGTAAATGTGCATGAGTACATGAACAAGCTTTAGGTATTTCTTTAAAATTATTTGTTTTGACTCCTAAAAAACCTTTTATTTCCTTACTTGCTAGTTGTTAGCTGTGGAGTTTGCTGAAGTTGAGTCCTAGGATAGATGAGGTGTTTTTTTGTTTGTTTTAATACTTGAGAAATTTATGTCATGTTAGATTTTAAAGAATATTTTTACTTTACTAAGTCTTAGAGAGCTCTCTGCCAAACTCTTACATCATATATGCTAGAAACATTTTGTTTCTGGTAACTTCTAGTTTCTAGTGACTATCGAGGTAACTTGAAATAGTGGGTAGAATGATGGACTTGGAGTCTTGAAGACTTGGGTTCAAATCCCACCTCTGATACTTACCAATTGAGTAACCATGGACAAGTCTCTTAAACTCAGAGCTTCAATTTCCTCATCTATAAAATAGGGATTATAATACCTCAATAATGTGGTAAGACTCCAATGAGATAATATGTGCGAAACTTTTTACAGGCTTTAAAGCACTACATAAATGTCAGTTACTGTTCTTGTAATTATCCTACTATGCAGAGGCATTTTTTAAATTGTTGTGAAAACATTTTCCTAAGCCCTCTTTTATTTATTCTAGATCCAGTAGTAATCATGCAAGTTCTTCATCCTGATGGGAACAAGTGCCTTTTAGGCAGGCAGAAAAGATTCCCTCCTGGAATGTTTACATGCCTTGCTGGATTCATTGAACCTGGTAAGACTTCTAGAAAAAAGGATTTTTTTAACAAGTTATTTAAACTGTTAAATGAGTTTTGTAAGCTCTAGTTGTCACAAGCTAGGATACTTGAAATATTTTTATGTTAATATATTTTAAAACTCATACCTTCTGTATTTTGGTAAAATCTTTTCATTTATCTTCTTAGTAATTCCTATTTGTAAATTCATGTCTATATGTATATGTATATGTATATGTATATGTATATGTATATGTATATGTATATGTATGTATATGTATATGTATAGATATGTATTGAAAGAAAATGCTAGGTTTCAAAAATACTTTCATAATCATAATCATCTTCTTCAAGCATTAATTTAGTTATATTTAGAGGTACTCAGATATACTCCAGCCTAGTAGAAAGGGTTTTGATCTGAAGAGAATAAATTTGGTTACCTAGAAGCACATGCAGTTAAGGGATTTAGGTAATTTCTGAATTCATTCCTAATATCATTGTTTTGTAAGATTGAAATTATTTATGTCAATTGTTACAATATGCCAGAGAACTCTTAAGGTTTTCTTAAAGGGTCTCTCTTCCCCATAGTACTCTTGGTTCTATATATAGAATTTTCTGTTACAGCTTACTCTGATGAAATGCATGCATTTAGAACAGGTAACACTTGTACTGGTGTACCCTGTTATACGTAGTAGATATATTCCTAAATAGTTTGGGTAAAATTGAATTATTTTTATAGGAGACCATGGTACTTTAAAAAGTCTTATTATTTTTTTTTTGGTCAAAACAAAATATTATTTCCTGATTTATCTTTTCTATAAACATTTTTTCATGTTGGATTAACCTAAAATGAATTGCTTTATATTCTGTAATGTACCTTCTAGCAAGTATGACGGGAAGTTCAAACCCTAAAAATCTTATCTCAGTATTTTATAATCTCATTCATTTGGGTACTCTGTCCTATAGTGTAGATCACAACCAGAGCTGTCCTTGAGTAGGTATTCTTCCTCTCCACCAAGGTCTACCAATCTATGATCTATACTGCAAAACTCTATGACTACCCTAACGAGTAAATCTGACCACAGACCACTTCTGATGTGCAGTTCATTCCTTTTCTGGGACCCGCTTTTCCCCACTGACATACTCTCCTGTCTGCTGTCTCCCTATTCTTTTCCTTTTCCCAAAGTCAGAGGAGAAATGTCAAGGATCAGGAGTCATTAGCTTTGCCGTGTAATCATGGGCCAAACTGTCTGGCATACAAGATACCCCTTGTCCTAGTATCTAACCATGGGCACATTACTCTTTAGTAATGAACACCTGGGATAAACAGCGTGCACTAGGCAAGGTGGGATATTAGGCTTCCGCACACTTAGGTAAGCCCTCTTCTTTCCCTGTCTAAATTCTCCCAAAATTCTAGAATTTTTCGTTAACACTCTCATTACAACCCATCCATTCCTTCTCATCCTATGCAACTCTTATCCATTCCTTCCCATACATCTTCCACTGGAGGTCTGCTCAACTGCTTGAAGGCCTTCTAGATCTTTTGACATTGATTACATATTATTGGAGTATATAGGCTGTCCATTGGTTACTTTTACTCTGAACATGATGGGCTTACCTCTATCTAGCTATTCATCCATCTGCTGGTAATACTTTATGCTACTTCTCCTGTGTAATTCTTCATTAGTAATATATTACAGCCTATTCATGCCCACCATGTACTTTTTCAGTTACCTTCTAGGTGATGCAAAATTTAATTCTTAAGAGACTAGGAATATTTATGCTGCACTAATTGGTTGCTGTCTTGTAAACCTATTTAGTTTGAATTCCTACTCACTACATTTTGCTTTCATCCTTAAAAACTACCTGAGGTCTCCCTTTCTTTCCCCAATTATAACTTGTTCCTGGGTCCAAAAGATCCCATATACCCCAAGATCACAGATAAGATCTTTCACTTCCTCCTCGTTAGCAAAGCTTAAGTAGGTAGGCATTCAAATCCTATATACTTCCTTCCCCTCAAATTGTGTAGTATTCAAAAATCCCAAAACCTAAATCTAGAAGTAGATATATAAAGTAAAATCTCAGTTTCCCACCTGTAACTACCCTGGAAATCCCCCTCATCCTTCCCTGACCCCCAGCAAAAGAAAGGGAGCATCCCTAGTACATTTCAGAGATGGGTCTTTTTCCTGTACAAAGTGGGAAAGCCATCTTAGGAACTGCCCGATATCCATGCAGACTTGGAAAAGATAGCAATACCCCTCCTGTCTCTAGCTTTCCTGAGGTACCTTTGTACCTTTGTAAACATCCTTTAATAACACTCACTGACACCTATATTTTTAATAGGAGGAGGGGGAAGATCTTGTTTTCTCTTCCCTGTCATGATAGCTAAATGATGTAAAAATAATGATTTTCACTAGCAAAAAAAATTACAATGAAATTAAAAAGAATATGTCATTTTCAGTCATCGAGATAACACACACACACATACATTCACATATATATGTAGATAGGTAAGTATATGTATATACACATACGTACATAGATACGCACACATGCATTCCCACAAACATATATAATGATTGTCTATGAGAGACTACTATCTTTATCATTGGGAAAAGAATTTTCCATGTTACCATTTTAATGCCTTGTGGATGGGTTGACAATTGTTCTTTTCTTGAATGCCAATCTAGTTTTAGACTTCTTTTTTCTGACTTTATTGTAGATAACATTCAAAGTGATTTCCTGTCTTCTGAGTAATTCAGAAGACAAAATACAATTCTTGCTTACGGCATTTTCCTCAATTACTTGTTCTTTGCACCATTTGATTAGGGGAGACAATAGAAGATGCTGTTCGAAGAGAAGTAGAAGAGGAAAGTGGAATCAAAGTTGGCAGTGTTCAGTACATCTCTTGTCAGCCTTGGCCAATGCCCTCTTCCTTAATGATTGGTTGCTTGGCTGTTGCTGTGTCTACAGAAATTAAAGTTGACAAGAATGAAATAGATGATGCCCGCTGGTTCACTAAAGAACAGGTAAAGTTCAATTTAATTTCCCTCTCCTTTTGATTGTTCTCTGATTGTATCAGTTTTGGAATGAAGTAGGTAGGCTTTTTTTTTTCCCAGCAAGTTGATTCAGTGTTTGTGTTAATTCACATGGTTCACTGATTACATTGTAATTGTAAATTACACGTGGTAGTAGAAATATGTCCACTACCAACTCATTGTTTGAAGTTTTCAGTAAGCAGCATCTTTTTGATGACAGTGATTGTCTTATTTTATAAATAAGTGCCATTTCCCTGGTCCTTCCTCAAATGTATATTTAATGGACTTGAAAATGCAGGAGAAATATTTTTCAAATGAGAATTAAAGGAGAAATGCCATTTTCCTACATAGACTTTGTGTTTGTTTCATGTCTTAGCAGTTCAAGTTGCCTGTAGAACAATTTAAGTTGCCTTTGCCTATTAAAAACAGGCATTTCAGAATTTCTGATATATTTAAACCTAGTTTAAAAAAGGGAACGACATTATGAAGGAACACTCAAGAAAACTTTTGAAAGTTCTGTTCCTAATAGTTAAAATAACAGGAAATGAATTACTCTGTTTACCTTTGTACTATAAGCATTTATGCAAAAACTTTATTAAAAAAAACAAAACTAATCTATTAAACACTGAATCATTTTCTCTGACTGTCTGAAACTCATTTTAGATTTGCCTAAATAAATTAATGTGGAAACAGCTTTTGTGATTTAAAATATCTCACCCTACAAAGAAATGAGTTATAATTTCCCAAAAGTTGATAAGAAGGGGTTCTGCTTCATTAATTTCTGGTCAGGTTTGAAATAAAATTTAGAATCACAGAACTTCATAATAGAAAGGATCCTGAGAAGTCATTTAATCTTGCCTTCTGCCCAATCATGAATCCTTTTCATGGTATCCTCAACAAGTATTTGCCCCTCAATTTGTAGAATTACAAATATCAGATACCCTTTATAAGCCACTATAAAATTCCTGTCCCTCTCCTTCATTCAGTTCATCACCTTATGCTTACTCTTGCGACTAAGTAATTACAGCGGCAGTTTTCCTGTTTTCTGAAACTGATTGTTTCTGCTTGTCAATGTACCTTCAAAATATGGCACTAAAAATTGAATACAGTATTCCAAATGTGACTTGATGATCTTCCCTTATTCTGGATCTTAGAATTCTGTTACTGAACACAACCCAAAATTGAGGAAGAATTTTGGCCAGCACACATTTTGAGTTGGCAACTCACTAAAAACCCCAGGTCTCTTTCATAGGAACTGTTATATGGCTTTAGTTTCTCAATCCTATACTTATACAGTTTATTTTTTGAACATATATGCACTTCTTTACATTTATTCTTATTAAATTTAATTTTAGCAAATTCTACCTTTTGTTCTAATTTTTATTACATCCAGCCCAGTCCTTTCATTTTATATATTATTTGGTCCTTCCCTGCTTTATTTCCTCCACAAATTTCAAAAGTTTTCCACTTTGTATTTGGAGTCAAAAGACCTGGATTCAAATTCCATTTCTGTTCTTTACCCCTTCTCCTATCTGTACTTTTAGTTTCCTCACCTGTAAAATAAAGGAATTGTACCAAATGACTTCCCAGATCCTTTCTTGTTCTAAATCTGTATATCCCATGGCCTCTAGGATTGGGTAGCTCACAACTTCATAATGTAATCCATTCCATTCTCAGAAAATCCTAAATAGCAAGTCATATAAGATAGGAGTTGAGAGGACCTCTGAAGTCATCTAATCCAATTTATACCTGACCATGAATCCCTTTGACCAAAAAAAGAAAAAGTTAGGAAGTTCTTTCTATATTGAGCCAGAATTAATACCCTCAAACTTTTGCACATTCATCCCAGTTCTTATCTCTAGAGCCACTTCAGGTAAGTGTAATCCCTCTTGCATAGAAAATCCATCAAAGTTGCTATCTATGTCCCATTCCTACAGCTGAACATCTCCAGTTCTTTTTTTTCCAACTGACCTTAAAATGACATGGTTTTGAGTCCTCCCTTAGTAAATATTGTCCAGATATCTTTCTTAGTATATTTGCTTTTTCCAGGGATTCATTTTATAATGGATACCTTCTTCTAGGCTTGGGAAAAACTGAGTCACTAGCCTCGTGGAACAATTAAATATTGCTTTTACTACTTACTATAATATAGTCATCATATTTCATCCAAAGTTGCTGAAATTACTTAATTATTTAAAGCTCTTTGTGATAATAGTAAAAAGTGAGAGGTATTATTTAAGTCTAATCTTGTTGAAATTCAAACACTATGTATTTTGTGTATTTGTTTTAGGTTATGGATGTTCTCACAAAAGGAAACCAACAGTTGTTCTTTGTGCCACCAAGCAGAGCTATTGCACACCAGCTAATCAAACACTGGATCGGAATGAATTCTAACCTTTAAATTCAGGAACCTGGCTTTGCAGCACATTATTTTGCTTCTGATTGCTGATTAATCTTAAGTCAATTAGAAAGATTTGGTGATCTTCTAAAGCATCAAAACACATGATTCATTGTGGCTTTTGGGAATTTTATCTGAGTGTTATCCATCTTAGGAGCAGAAAACAGAATTAATTTCTATGTAAGTCATACATTGCCTCTCTCTAGTGAAAGATGTTTTCCTTGTAGTAAAGAAGCATGACTTTTAGGTCATGAGAATAAAGATTAAGGATTCAAAAACCAAATTCTAATCTTGGCTATTCTAGTCTTAAACATTAAAAATGCATTTCATTTCTTCATCTCAGAAATGAGAATATACTGGAGATGATTTTCAGTGGGAAATAGTTTATTTTACATTTTCATCTTTTTTTTTTACTATAAAATGCCTTGCAGTGTCATCAGATTTTCACCTAATTATTCATCAGATTGTCCCCCACACATACACACACACGCACACACATGAAAATTCATTTTAATAGCAAAAGTTGTTGTTAATATTCTAGTAGTTTGGTCTAGTCTAACAATTTTTATAGACTAAGAATAACCAGTGTTGCTAATGATCCCAGAGTATCATGTTATCTTTCAAGAAGAGTTATTCAGAAGCATAACTCTGTAGAACATAATTCAAATCTTGAAGTGAACTGAGGGACATAGGTGTCCCTAGGGGAGAAATACTTTATATAAAATTTGAAATGAAAACAATTTCAAAAAGGCTATAAAATAAGTTCTTGATAAATTTGTCTATATAATGAAAAGGTACATAGGTATTCGGGTGTATATTATAAGATGTTGCCATTAGTTGGAAAAAATCATAAAAATGTTTATTAAAATACACATTTCAACTATTTAAAAGCATTCTAAAGATGTATTTATACACAAATGTATTTTAGTATCTATTTGGGAGACTTCATAGAATTTAGAGTTGGAAGAGACATAGTAATCTAATCAAACCTCTTCATTTTACAAATGTAGAAACTAAGATATAAAGAAGGAAAGTGACATGCTGAATGTCACATAGATAGCTAGTGGCTATCTAGGATTTGAACCCAAGTTCTTATACTGATTCACTGTTCTTTCTAAAATACTGTGTTGACTTCTGATGCTGCAATATTGTAATAGTGTACATTTTGACACTTTTAAATTTAGATGTTATGCGTCATCTTAAAGTACAGCACTAAATACATTTTGAAATTGTTTTATAAATCAATTTAGAAAAATGCAAAATTTAAATCACAGGATGTGACTTCCCTTTCAAGATCTAGAAAACAGACTTTAGAAAATGACTAATCCCAAATCAAGAGAGATTAAGTGACTTAACTAGATGATGAAGCTGAGACTAAATCCAGGACTGTTGAAATTTCTAGAATACCTTGATGATATTTTATACTTGGTGCCTATTATAGAGAAGATATACAGACTAAATTAACACCCAAAGAACAGATGTCCAGAAATTAAAATGGAATTCCCTTCTCTCCAAAATCAAAATACAATTTTCTAAATTTTAGTTATTTATAGCGTACACAATCTAAATAAGAGTTTTTTTAGAAAAAAAATAATTATTAGCATTGTTTGTCTTAGTAATTGATATAAAATTTTAACAACATAAGTTTAAATCTAAATTAAAACTTACACAGTACATTCCAATGCCTATTAAAGATAGGCTATAGGAAATGATTTGTCTTTACTATAAATTGTAGTGAATAGAAATAAATTTTCCTTCCAAATAGTAAGTTCTGAAAATAAACTGATATTTTGACTGATACTTTTAATACGTGCAGATTCTAAAGGTATTTGCTGCAAATTATGATTTCCATAAAGTTTACTTAAGAATGTTAGACAGCATAAGTTAATTATTTTAAAGATGCAATTATAAGATTACAAATTTGGGGATATTTTCTCAGGGAAAATAAATATCTGAGTAACTTTTATAATTATTCTTCAGTTGTCCACCTCTGAGAGGTGAAAATCCAAATGTAAAAAGCAATGTAGCCAATTTAAAAAGGAGTAGGCTGTGTAAGTAGCATATATGTGTTGTTTTAAATGTATGTATTAATATATTAAAATATTTACTCATACATTTCCCTTTTGTGTAGTTTTTTTTTCAAATCTGCTGATAGATTGAAAAACTGAAAATAAATTTTAAAATGAAATTTTATCCATTCATTCAACACATTTATTGAGTACTTGCTATGTAGTAGGTATTTGTACTTTGGAAAATACAGTTTATTATTCTTCATACGCTTTGGGAGTTTGTGTTAAAAAATGGTAGCCTTAAAAATAATTTTCCTTGGTAGAATGAACTTCAGGATATTCATTTTTTTCTAAATCTTGTATATTACAATATCAGCTCAGTTGTTTCTGAACCTTATGGAGAATATTACACATTCATCATAATATGTATTTTTTATCTTGTCCAATTTTTGCATTTTGACAGGTGCATTTTATTGTTATATCTGGCAAAATGGGAAAAGTAGGTAGGGGTGGTGAATGCATGACTGTGTCTAAATCTAACTCTTTTTTATTATTTTAAAATAGTAAAAAAAAAATGCACCAAATAGGGTTAAACTAAATTAGTGGAAGGAAAGAGGTCCTCATATGAGAAAGAAACCTTTCAGAAAATCTATTAGAGATAATGTAAAAATGAATAAACAAAAGAGAAGCCCTAATATAATGGTTAACTATTCTGGGGCATAAATAAGGGAGAACTCTTGAGAAGAAAGGAGTATTACCAGAATCCCAGAAATGATAAATGGAATGACCCTAAGGGTCACCAAAATATTATAAAGAGAAATTCATTGAGAGGAAAATAAAAGATTATAAAAAAATTTTGATAGTTTAGAACAATGATTGTCAAAGTGTGACCTAGGGGTCCCTAAGACTTTTTCAGGGAGTTCATGAGGTAAAACCTTTTCATACTATTACTAAGATATTTTAATTTCCAGCATGGTAAATATCAATAGATATAAGCAAAAGCTCTTCAGAGAGTGAAGTTGTCAATTTTTAAGAGTATAAAGGGATCCAGAGACCAAAATGTTTCAGAACCACTGATTTAAAACAGTGGGATATTGTAGTAAAACATGGACACTGAAAAAGTTGCAACATAACACCAAAATATTGAACAACAAATATAACAAAATCTAAAGGCAGCAAAATTGGAAGAATACTCAAGAGCTCTGCAAACCAAAATAACTCGCCTTGAAAACAAAACAGTCTGAGAACAATTGCATAAAAATGTAATAGTCTGAATATCAGGAATTCACAAGACAATTTCCTGGAAATGTTGGAAACTGTTCAGTAGACAGTAGTGGAAATAGTATCCAATAGAATACACAGGACATATCAGATAGGAACCTAAATTTAACTCAGAAATGTAGTCACCAACTTCTAGAGCTTCATTGTCATAGAGAATCTTGCTAGCAGCCAAGAAGAGGCAATTCATATACATATAAATGAAAGAAAATACTGAAATAGAAAGAAATTTGTAGCTTGAAATAATATATCTTACAAAGGAGAGAATAGTTGAAAAGTGATGAGTCTTTTATGGGATCACAATTTCAATCATTAATGAAAACAGACACGAGTAAGAACTTTTAAATGAAAATTCAGCAAACATCCAGATAACATGAAAAGGCTTAAATGATGAATCAGTGTTTACAACAGAAGAGGAAAAAAAGACAGACAAAAGTCTTACTTTGATTGGGAGCTGAGAGAACAAAGAATGGAGTAATGGGGTCATAATAATGGGGTAATAATAATCCCTTAGAAGGCGACTTGGACAAGTTCACTACCTAGGTATTTTTGATTCCTCATGAGGTTCTCCTTCCACGTGTTGGTTGCCAAATCTTATTTCTATGTCTACATCTTTCACATCTCTCCACCGCCTTGCCACCGCCTTAAACAAGTCCAAGTAGACTTCCAGTTTTCAGTCTGTCCCCTCTCCAGCCTCTGTCTTCCACATAGCTGCCAAACCAGTATTCCTGATATATAAAGCTGACCATTTCACTCAATAAACTCAAGTGCCTGTCATTGCCTCCAGGATCAAATATAAGCCCAGAGCTCTGTTTAGCACTTAAAGCTTTTCATAAACTTCCAAACTATTTTTCCATCCTCATTGTATAGTACTGAACTTCATGCACACTGTCATCTAGCCAGATCAGCCTTCTTAACATTCATCACACACGGCATTCTGTGCCATGTGGAAATAAACCGCCTTAGAGTCTCTCAGAATCTTTTTGTTGTTGTTGGGTCATTTCAGTTGTATCCCGCTCTCTGTGACCATATTTGAGGTTTTCTTGGCAGAAATACTGGAGTGGTTTGCCATTTCCTTTCTAGGTCATTTTACAGATGAGGAACTGATGCAAACAGGGCTAACTGACTTGCCGAGGGGCCAGTGCCCTATCCACTGCACCACCTACCTGCCTCTTAGTTTTCCTCAAGGCTCAGCTCAAATATTACCTGCCACATTAGGCCCTTCCTGCTCAATACCTTATGTATTTTTAATATACTAAATAAGTATGAGCTACCTCCTTTGTCTAGATTATAAGCTCCTTGAAGGTAGGGAGTTTTTGCTTTTGTCTTTGTATCCCCAGCACTTAATACAGTGTCTGGGACATAGTAAATACTTAATAAAAGCTTATTAATTAAATGAAATACATTAGAGAAAGGAGGAAGGATAAGATATACCACAGTAAATTCCAAGTAGATAAATTATCTTAACATTAAAACTCCTACCATTTAAAAAAAAAAAAGAGGAGCAAGTAAGTTTGTTTTCTCAGCTGTGAACAAGGAAGACATTATTACTAGACATGGTTACAAAAGACATGAAATTTAATTGTGGTGGTATAAAATTTTAAGTTTTACCAAAAAAAAAAAATCAGTGAAACAACAAATAAAAGGAAGGATGCGGGGGAAGAGGAATCTGCATTGAATATCTCAGATAAAAATATAAAGGGAAATGACACAAATCAGTAAGATTAAGATCCAGTCTCCAGTAGGCAAATGAACAAAGGGATATGAACAAAAGTTTTTAAAAATCCAAATATCAACAGCTATCTGAAAAAAGGTCCAAAAAAAACCTAATGAGTTTAAAAAAAAAAGATACCACTTCACATACACCAAATTGGCTATGATAATAGAAAACCTGTAAAATGCAGTATTGGAGAAGTTGTCAGAAGATCAAGAAATTCATTGATTGGTGGAAGATCTACAAATTGATCCAACTGTTCTAGAAAACAATTTGAAATTATGCAAGAAAAATATGAAACTATGTATACCTTTTAACCCAGATATCCTATTATAAGACATATAGAAAAGACTCCAATGCTCAGAAGTATTCATAGAAGCACTATTTTTAATAGGAAAATTTAGAGAAAGAATATGTGCCTACAATTGAGGAATGACTATTAAATTGCGGTATATGAACATAATGAAACGTTATGAAAAATTGAGAGAAACCGAGAAAGACTTCTATCCATCTAAAATGAAGATAGCACTAAATTGCAACACAGTTCAGGTCACATACAATGGACAGTTGGGTACACTAAATCTCAAAACCTTGCTATGTAGTGACACCTGCGGGTTACATATAAATATCCCCATTTTACAGATCAGGAATCAAAGCTCAGAAAAGTTAAATGACTTGCTCAGTCATGCAACAAATATCTGAATTAAGAATCAAAGTTCCTCTTACTCCAGATTCAGCACTTTGTTCATTTCCGTGAAAGACTTCACAAGATGGAAAGACTGGAATGACAGGAGAAAGAACTGTCAAATGGAAAATAACAATGTGGAACAGGGTTTACCAATCCCACACTGGGGCATGAGCATGGCATGAGATTATGCAAAAAATAGGAGGATGACTGGATTTCACACGCAGGCATATAGGATTTGGTCCTGTTCCTTGATTGCATGACCATCAAACTCCATTTTGGATTTTCCTTTTGAACTGTTAGAAGGGGAAAGGAGCTCTGCATTATTCCCTGGGCAACCAAGTGGGGTAAAGCAGTAAAAATTGAGATGCTTCTGGAGTTCTGTGACCACCCCCACAAAGACCTGTGAAGTTGTAAATCTAGAACTGACAGGAAAAAGCAGAGAATAACAAAGTAAGATTTGGAAATTTGGAGTCGGGAAAGACAAGAGCGCCATATTAGGAGCATACAGAGCCACAGAAGGACTAAGTGGAATTGACCCCAGTGCCTCCTCTTCACCAGGTTACCTTAGAACACTTAATTAGAAAAGGCTTAACTTCCCAAAACAGGTAAAGTCCTTTCCTTTTTACCCCACTCCTCCCCCACTTCATTTAAAAGTTTGAGTTTGTTTAGGGTTTTTTAAAATTGTTATTGTTATTCCAGTAGATCCCTGTCCATTGAAAGTGAATTGTGAAATTGTGTGAGGATGGAAGAGTACAAGTATAGGATTGGAGTTTGGAAATCAGAAATAAGAAGGCTTTCCTAATTTTGGTAAATAGGGGTATTGTCCAGAAGAACGAACACTGGAATTTGAAATTTATTAGGTCATTTAGTAGAGAGAGTGGAAAAGAAAGATGTGCTCCTTCTCCCTAGATTCTGGTAGGTTTACGTTATACAGTATTTTGACAAAGGTTTCTGCACATCAGTCACACATGGTATCACATGTGAGTCACCTGAAGGAAACACGAAACACAAACTTGGGTAGACCCAAAACAAGACCTGGGTGTGTGGACCTAAACCTGAGGGAACCCCAAATTCCCTGTAACCATTTCCAGCATTCTTGGAGAGTTACTGAGGTCAAGATGATATTTTGGGTACAAGCAGTATCTCATTAGCTTTGAATAGTATAATAATAAGTTTTCCAAACAGGAGGAAGGGTAAAATTATTTCTGTAGAACTCTATTGATTAAAGCCCCTTGGAGTGTTTAGGAGAGAGGGAGAGAGAGAGATAGAGAGAGAGAGAGAGAGAGAGAGAGAGAGAGAGAGAGAGAGAGAGAGAGAGAGAGAGAGAGAGAGAGAGCACATTGATTTAGAACAATCCACCTCCAGACTAAAAAGAGGGAGCCAGCTTTGCAGCCCATTGGATAGAATGGTGAACTTAGAGGACAAAAATC